ACGAATTCAAGAAAAGACTTGACAGCAAATTCCAATGTTATTTTGGAGCCCGACACTATGTTCGCAAATCTTTGCTTCACATTCCTTGTAGCTGGTATTTGTTGATCTCCTCTTTCTCTGTGACTTACGGACATGCTGGCAATCCTCAACAAAACTGAACTTCAGCAACGCACATGCCTCCAGGATTAGACTAAATCAACAAGGTCTGCACCTGACATGGTATCATATAGTTATTATTGTCTCTATTACTGTAAGTATTATATATGTTGCATAAGTTATTATATACATATAAAACGTATAAAATAAATATACCGCGGTTCATCGTGATAATACGATCCTGGGCATGCCTCGTCATGTCCAGCCAACTTTCAGACCGAACTCAGTGCCTGGTCGCCATCCCAACCACCGTGCACCAAAAGGCTGTGATCGATTTCATCCTCGGCGCCGGGTGGGTACAGTATATAGTGCCCATACCCGAAAAGCAAGGAACTTGCCATAACGGATAATTGTCAGGTGTAGATGGGTGTAGGGCCACTGGCATTTGCTGGCTCCAAATGGGCGCAATCTGCTGCTCCACTGGCTCATCTAAAGGGAGTCATCCCTGCAGCCAGCAAGTTGATACCGCTAAGAATTGTATAGCAAATTGATGCAAATTGAATCTACAGCCGCTCTACCAGCAAGGACTCAAGGACCATCTCGATAGTCCAAAATCACATCTCATCTCCCTCAGCTATTCCAGGGAAAGTCCAAAGTACTCTCACAAGATTCTAACCGCTTCGGAGGGTCAAGTCACCCGACGTTCATGTTCATCTTACCAAGCCAGCTTCCCTCAACTCAGTGCTCCCTCCCTCCCTCCCTCTCTCTGTCTCTCTCGTTTCTTCCTTCCTCCACAGTGTCGTCACTCTCGGACTGGACATTGTGATTTTGCTCGAATCTATTGCGCAAACACTTCGAAGCCAAATGCAATCTGGAGCCCATGCGCGCTCCTCTATTTGTTCGTGGATTTGTCTTATGATGTCTTTCTTCAGGAAGGGCAACCGGAAGAGCTCTATTTGGGTAGGCATGGGTATAGCAGGGTGGGACTCTTGCTGTCGGGTTTTCCCGTCAATGCTAGTGAGAACTGTCCCTCCGCCCCGTCCGATTCGCTGCTCCGAGGCGCGTAGGTCGCCACATGGTCATGGCGTGCTGCCGGCCCAGCGTCCGACAGCAGCGACCACAGGGTTAGGAGCGGGTCGAACTTCCAGAGCTCTCGTAGACTGCCCGTGGAACCTGGGCGTGGAACGGCCTTCATCTTGTCCGTACGCAAAGATACCCGGATGTGTTGTGGGAAGAGAACTGGTGCTATCTGCGTCTTGCCTAGATGGCAGCAAAACCAACCATATTTGCCCCATACAAATTTCATCAAATTCCCATAAATGTTCCAAACTAGCATCCCCCACCACAATAGACCGTCACCCTGGTCATCACTCTCACCAACCATCCAGAAGGAGCCAGGTAGCTCCAACCACCATGAAGCCAAAGGAAGGTCCCATCCCATGCAGCCACATGCGACCAGCGCTGCGTAGGTGCGCCAATGCTCATGGGGACCAGGCTCCAGCGGTGCTGAAGCACATCAAAGCTCCAAAGGTCTCCTGAGACACCCAGCGCAAGTTGGTCCCTGTCGGGATCTAGAGGGAAAACACTCCCTGGAAGAATCATGGCTTAAGTCCATGGCATGGCCACTGGCATGGCCCGGCATGATCATGTTTCCTAGAGACAGGTGGTTTGAGAAGTGAACCTGTGAACCTGCAGTCTCCCAGCAAAACCAGTTCGTGGCTAGGGTGCGGCCCAACGGTGTGGAAGCGAAAAGCACTGGGACAGAACCAAACGAATTGTCTTCGTGGGGGGATGGTGAGATGGCAAGCAAATGACTGACGTAAACTGAGTCGTTGATAATTCATTGGCGTTCAAATCAAATGGATCGGGAAACATGAAATGGATGATTCCAGACCATTTTCGCACTGTTGAACTATTCACCTGAGATCAGGAGCCCTGTGGCAGTGCAAGTGCCGCTAGTCCTGTTCATGGGGTGAGGTACTTCTCTCACTGAATCGGTGCTAGTCTTGTAGAACATGATGGCTATCCTCACGGAACATGGATCGCCGTGGGGTGGGGGGCGCTTTTGCAACCAAAGGATATCAATGATGTCAAACTAGACCTGTAGTTTTTCTAGGTCATTTGGTGTCAGTCTCCACATGCCCAGGCCGCCGTCAGAGACGGGTGTTCTGGCAGTGCCAAGTCTCGAAATCCATCCAATCCATCCCAGCCACCGTGCACCCAAAGCTTTCGCTGCGCTCCATCCCATGCAGCTGCATGATCATAGCGTGCTGCCGGCGCATGCAGCAGATTCTCCAGCTTCCAACGCTGCGGCATGGCGTGGTTCGAATCCTACCAGTTTGTTCGCAGATTCTCCTGCCACACAGTGTGGACCTCTTCTCAATCCCAATGAACAAAACATATCCCTGATGATCCATGTATACTGTATATCCATTGGTTGATCAAGGTGTCAAATATGGCGTGGCTGAGAGGAGCTGGAATGTAGCTGACATGGGTGCAGGATTTGGTACCGCAACACTGTGATCCTGCCCCTGCTTTTGATGTTTGGCATGCACCTAAGTACCAACATGTGACATGCAATTTGACATCATTATTTCTTGAGCCCAGGGACAAGGTCCACACCTTGTTGTATAAACTACATGAACATCAATCTGTATGCATATCCTCTGCCACTCACTATTCCAATGCTTTTGGCAGAACATGTGCGGAATGCTGCGGAGGAGCTGCAGCCACAGCAAAGAGTCTAGGACGACCTTATCCACAAGAATCGGTTTTGAGGCAATTTAGGTCTTGAGAAGCTTTGATCGGACGATATTAGATATGTAAGATTCTAAGGTTTGATAAAGCATCCTCCAGACTGCAAGTTGCAACTGTTGATCGACGTGGGCATGGTGTATCACAATGGATTGATTGAGGACATAAGGGCAGCTGCAAAAAAGGCCACTGGCACACACTAGCATCCCCTAAAGTGAAGAAGCAAACACAGGACCCCAGGAACAGTTCACCTTGCTAGTCCAGGACAAGAGCAAGTGCTGTTCGAGAGACTGCTCGAACAGCTCGTCCCATGTGCCCGCTCGTTTTGCATGCAAAGCATGGCATGGCTTCAACCCGGTGCGCCCAAACCCAGGTCGTGTGGTTCGATCCAAAAGGGTTTCCCTTTTCGGGTGCACCCCACAGACCGGTACAGGCTCACCTCTGAGGCGAAAGAACGGACGTGCCTCACATCCAACAAGCATGGAACTGGAATCAACCCGCTTTTTGGCGTGATCGTTTCACATCTTCTAAGCAAAGTAATATTTTCCCCAAGCGAGTGACCGTCATCGTGATCCATGCATCTTGGATCTGATTTGATCAAAAAGGAAGCGACGGTATCGTAGAGCTTGCCTAGGCAATGCCAACCAACCATTATGCAACATCTGCAATGAGGCTTCTGCGGTATTCTCAGGTGCCTTGCCACACAACCGGATGTGGGTGTTTGATTGTTTTTGGATGATTCGTGTCTTCGAAAGGCCTTGGGCTCTGCAGGGTTCAGGTGCTAATTCTATACTGAGATGCCTAAATGATTTGGTTCTGCGTATGCAATTCTTCTTATCATTCCCTTCACAAGCGGAACACAAGCGTTTACAGGAGCCTAGTTTCTTCCGCCTTCTGGCAAATGAAATATATATATATATGTCACATATCCACACCTTTGATCACACACACACACTTGTAGCACCTTGTAGCAAACAATAGCTAAACATATTGGCACACATATGCAGCTATACATACATACCATGCTGGTTCAATTGCATGCCAAAGGCGACTTTAGACGCAACGCAACTGAGGCCTCCAGCAACATGGCACCCACTCTCTCCGCGATCAAGCCGTGTTCGGCATTGCCTGCTCCGCTGCAGATCGAACTGTCACTGACCGAGTGGTGGGTTAATCCATCGATGCATTGACCGACCCGGACGGACCCGGACGGTTCGGTAGACGCCTCGGAAGTCAAAGCCCTCCAGGCGGGAAAGGACTTCACCAGCCTCAGCTGAGGTGTGATGTACCAAGCGGAGTCTCAAAGGCAAGCTAGTGAAACGTTGGGGCATGTGGGGTTGCAGGGGCTCCAAAAAAACGTGTAGACCAGGTGTGTGACACGTTTTGATGTTAATGATGACCACCTGGCTTCCGCCTTTGAACGGGTTTTCAGGGACACCGGTCCACTCCCCTGAGGCTTCTGGCCAGAAAGCTGGCAGCCGTGGCACTGCATCCGCCCGCGCGCCCTGATGACGAAACGAAACCAGGAGTCGACACAATGCGCGTGGGCAAATAGTTTACAAGCCTGTGACAGAACATCTAAATATCCATTGATATCCATTGATCACTTTGCCAAGCCCTACAGGGAAACATGTAGAATGTAGACTATGTAGACCCATCCAGCAAAAAGATACGATGTCCAGTCTCTTTGGAATTTGGTCTCAGCTTCGGACAGGTCAAAAATGAAGCAGTGCAGTGCAAAAAAAAATAACATACAGTATCTAAATAGGACATCCTGCTGCGTACATGCTCTGAAGAAATGGTCCAATCTGGTGCAAGGGTGAGGTGCACCACCAGTGGATCCAACTTTTCCAGGAAAGTTCACATGGGATATCATGGGATGTAAAGCCTGCCGTTCTACCCTCTGAAATGCCATCATTGAAGTGAAACACATGGACCGCTGGAAGAACCTGTTCCCCCGCTTCCTTCCCCCCGGACTTCTTCCCCGGACTTCTTCTCAGCTATTTTATGCTTTGTCTATGATTTTATGATGATTCATGATGTGTCCACACTAGTGGTGAACCACAGGTGTCTTGGTCCTGACTCGTGGTCACTCGGTGACCCGGTGTCGCTCTACACGAACCGATCGATCGCACCGTCGCGGCAGCGGCCTAAGGGCCGGAGCAGCAGCGGCACGATGCCGTCGCCGTCGCGGAACTCGTAGGTCCCAGTGCCTGCGGACCGGACCGGCGGCCCTCGGTGGAGAGCGGTGGAACTGGTGCCAAGTGGTGCCGCATTCACTTTTGGGGATGAACGCACTTGGGCTGGAAAGTGAAACAGTCAGTAGATGAAGCTAAAAGGGCCTTCTTGAGGGTCTAATTATTGTTGATCTGCACAGTTCCATGTCAGGCAAGGCTAAAATGAACCAACGAACGCGAACGCCAAGGAACACTCACAAACCCTCAATTCAAACATATATTATATGAATGTCGCAAGTGCAAAGGTCCAAGTGCGTCATTTATATTTCTCGCGAGAGCTGCAACGTCGGGTCCAAGCTTTCCAGGGACGTCTCTGCGCTTTCCCTTTGGCCCCCTTCCCACGAACCAACGCGAACTGTTCGCAGCGGTCTTGATGTGTTTGGGCATCGGGGAGGCCATCACATCGTCAACGTTCTGGCGGTTCTGGGTGGGGGACATCCCATCCATTTTCGCTGCGTGCTACCAGTGCCATCTTCTGCCTTCCTGAGTCGGACCGTCAGCTCAGAGCGATCGTCGCCGAGGTAATGGAAACCTGCTCGCTCCATGGAATCCTTCTCATCTGTTGGACCGGGATCTTCTGCAGCACATGCACAGTTCTCAAGCTAAATATAATCACCACATATCACCACGCACATCTGATGTGTACCAGCATCCAGCATCCGTTTCAAAGACATGTTTCAACGATTCCTGGGCCCTTCTCGCAATATGCATCTTTAGAGATGCACATCTTCTCAAATGGCTTCATGGACGAGATGAGGGATCCACCGATCCAAGCACTGTACCTCGGATGTGGAAGAAACTGCTTAAACTGTCCAACTCTGTCAAGAAGCTAAATAGTTACTACGCACAAAGGACGAGAACAATACTTGGTGGGTTGACACAGGCAATTCCACACAAACGTGTCGTGCATGGTGCGTGGTCTTGCCCGAATGTGACAAAATAGCCGATAAACCTCGAGCTCTCTTCCTCTCAGCCCACAAATCTTGAATAACTCCACCACAAGGTCAGTTTGCCCCCCTGACATGCCTTTCCTGCACCTGTCCGAAACTCTCACATCCATTAGGGCCTTAGGGCCTTATGCTTCATTACGCTCCATAAACCCAGCCATCTGGATTCCAGGACTAACCAGCACCAACCAGCGGGTGAGGTTCAGATCTTGATGTTTGATAGAGAAACACCACTGTGGACGGTTGATCAACAAAATCCTGATGATCAAACATCTTGATATGAGCGGCTTTATTCATCAACATTACATTTATCTCAGAAGTACCCCATCTGGAGGCGGAAGTAGGAGATCCAGGACATGAGTAGCATGAATGAAACATATATTTGGCACATACAAAAAGAATGTGACCGTAATAACACGCTTCACTGCCCGGTATCTGTACACCTAACATGAAGCACGACCCTTTCACCTTTCCGGAGTTGCATCTATCACGGTTGGGACCGCTTTCTTTCGATCCATGCGCTGACAAACTTGAGCGATGAGATGATCAACAAGTCAAAATATAAATTGAAATTGCTGGAACATGCCGGAAAGGTATATAATATGTATATATACCTAGGGTTTGAGTTCCGGTATCGTGTTCCACGGAAAAAACATCTTGCATCACGTTACCCGTAGAAACAACAGCAGCTACTTGCTTATTACACGCTAATGTCGTTGCCGCTTCTTCCACCCGGAAGTATCGGGCATCTGGGCCAGGGTCTAGCAAAGCAACTAAGTTCGTAGGCTTTGACATTGTTTTAGGTATCGTTTTGGCCTCGCTCCAGCAACTCACTTTTTTGGAACACCAAAAACACATGCAGAACAATAGTCAGCCATATTCAAATAGCACAAACCTTATGTTGCTGGTGTCATCGGACTCCTCCAGTTGATTGACCAAAGTACGCCGACCGAGTGCTTCCTAGCGATGCTGTTTGAACGACGCCCACCTATCGCTGTGTAGTTTGGTAATGCACTTGTTCATATTATTACCTCGGCCCTTGTTTTGCAGTGTTTGGGCGCGTGGGCCAGGATGTGCAGTGTGCGTATTTGTCTTGGCCCACCTCTTCCCTGCCAGCTGCGGAGTTTCTTGAAATGACGGACCAGACCAAAGAGCTACGCCATTAAAATCTACTGCAGGCTATAATATATAAATAGACTAAACGTATATATATATATGTATATATACATAAAGACAGGTTTTAAGTGATAGATGTTAAACTACGCTACTGCCAATAGGATGCTTTTATCAAATACAGCAACGAGGCGCATGGTCTAGCGGTCTAGCGGCCACAGTAGCGGGAGCCTGTTCGTAACTGATGGTTGCTCGTTCTTGTCATATCATCAGTTTTTACAGAAAGAAGTCTGTGGAAGTGAACATGTACAATAAGGCAAAGGCACCATCCAAAACAACCTGCAGATTCATACTCAGCACCTCAATCTTGACCAAATTCAATTGCTTTAAAGTACTTGCCTCGTACATAAACCTGCCGACCGTGCTATGCATTGCAAGTTCTTCACTAATTAGTACAACAAAGCCCTTCTCCCTTCTTAAAACTCATCAGCACCAGGTGAAGAAACTCCTCCAATGAGACAGGTCGCTTCCGGTCCTCAGGAGCTACCACCTCCACTGCCGCTTCCAGGCGCTTCAATTCCAGCTCTAGGCGTTGTGGGAGGCCCCTCAAGAGACTGCAGCCACCGGCAAGGACCACATTGGACCAAAGCGCGGCCTGAGGCCGGAGCAGCCCCAGCAAAAAGAGCCCAGTACGGGCTGGCAGGCAATGGGTTGTTTCGGAAAAACACGTGATTTACAAATTCCAGCTGCACTTGCACCTCAGAATCTGGGCTGTCGTTCAATGGACTTCTGCAAACACAAAAAACAAACGGACAAACGAAGGAAAAATCACACCCTCTATAATCTCAGAAGCTGGCCTGCAAATCTGAGTCGGAAGCAACAATCGCCTGCTGACAGAGCTGAGGAAGTCCTTCCTCCTCCGCCATTCACCCCGCGGAAATGGGCCGCTCAAAGGCTCAGCACGAAAACCCTGTAAAAGTAATAGATGCTAGCATGGTTGATGAAGTTTTGACTCTTTGCTGGTAATCACTGTACTCTTATTCACTCTTACAGCAAGGAACATAATTGGTAGTGCATGTGGCCCACAATAGCACCTCTCTGGCCTCATCGCCTCTGTTTCCCGGTCCTCCAAGCCGATCAAGGCCGGCTGGAAGAGCGGCTCGGGTGTCCGGAAGCTTTCCGAGCCGATGTGGAGGTGATCGCCGGAGGGGAGTTCCCAGGATTTGATCTCCTGGATTCGCGGAGAAGTGGAGGACGAAGAGGACGAGTGGCGACCCGCTTGGAACATGGCTCTGAAACCGAAACAAAAAGGCAGGCTGAGATCCTTGAAAGTCCATTCACGTGATTCACGTGTGTTGATGTTCGACCGGCCCATGGTCCAATTGCTGTGGTGGTTTGTGCTGTATCTGTGATTTATGAATCGCCCTGGAACCCCAAGAGGTTTCGGTCGGGCAGTTGACAAATCAAACTCAACTGTCAGTGTATATTTATATATATATATATTATATGCGTCAAGTCCCCCGCTTTGGAGTCGCGCAACAGGTGTCAAACGCTCCTGTTCTTCCGTCCGGATATCCAAAGCCACATAGCACTCCTGGAGTGGGTGTGGAGTGGGTGTGGAGTGGGTCATAGTGGGTCCCTGTTGAGGACTGAGACTGTCTGGTTCTTAGAGTACTGCACAAATGAAAGGATTCTGTGAGATATTGTCACTCTAGAGGCGGGAACGAAAGCAAGAACACATCTGCGGACAACACCGGACTGCGGTGCTTTTGACAAAGCTCGAAGCGATTATCGCACCAAACATCACCAAACAATATAGGAGCTGTTGCCCATATGGCTGCGGGATACCCAAAATGTCAAACCCGGAATCAGCATCAAAACAAAAATGTCCAAGGCTCAAAGAAAGGTGGTTTGTCTGTCTGAAGCTGTTTGAAGAAGGAGTTCTGTGAATGGAAATGGTTGTCCTTTGCCTAGGTTTTGTGTAGAATAGATATGATGTGGTTGCGGGTCAACGCCAGGATACCTTGGATGACTTACCTGGAAGGTCAACCTACTTGGTGCACCAGGGCTCCGGTCCAAGTTGGCCAACCCATCTGCAACGTTGGTGAGAAGCTGTCGTCGCTTGTCAAGCCCTTGAGCCACAAGCACAAGCGAGGAGTCTAATTTTTTGGGGCCATGATGTGAAGAAACCTGTTGCACTTCCCATCTTCCCACTCCAAGAAAAACACACAAGTCACAAGTCACCGGAAATTGGATCGGATTCGGATAGTTGCACCAAGCCAGCAGAGTCCACTAGCTCATTCACCCAGCTGAAATCAGCTGAACATCCCGTCCTGGCACTTGATATCCTCTACGATCTCCAGCTCACTGCTGCCACCCGTGAAGCAGTAGCCCTTTTCAACGAGGAGTTTCCTCACGGCGCGAAGGGCACGGCGCGCAGGGCCTCCACACCGGGCGCTTGGGGGTTTTGTTTGACATGCATACACTGTCCTGCAGCGGCCATACGACGAGCAGTCCTACTGACTTGGTACAGAATCCACATAGAATAAGGATCCCAAGTAAAATTAAAAGTCTGTAAGTCAAAAAAAATGCGGTTGAACGTCTAACAAAGTTGTGCTCTCAAATGTTGTAGGTGTTGGAGCGACTTTTCCCGCCCACTTGATCTGCCGCAGGGTTTCAACATTAAACAACGTGTCCGGACTTGAGGGCGTCTAACAGAATCTAACATCGCTGACCCAGATTGTCACAGTGGAATGTCAGCATCTGCATCAGGTAGAATATGTCACCACACGAGCACTCGTGTGAGCACCCAATGCATTACATGACTTCACATGACAAACATTGCCAGTCAAAAGTTGAATCCTCATTGAGTGGGTGGCGCCATGTGCAGTACCCACCTTTGGTCACTACTATGAAGCGGCATCTTGTTTCCGCCACTTTCCAGAATCCGCGTCACATGTATCAAGAGTATCAAGCGTCGAATGAAACATATATCAAACCAAACAAATCCCTAACATGCTAAGCCCAAGCCGCATGAGGTATTGGGTCAAATCCTGCCCGCCCAAGTGCAGCTTGCGCACCACGTGAGCCACCAGAATCCCTTCACACACGGGCGCCATGCGACACTCCGTGGCGGCACAATCCACCACGAGACCCGTGAGGCGACCAGAGCTGTAGAGGGACAAGACTTGATGCACTGCCAGGTAGACTGATGGCACCTTGACGGAACGACTCCCACGAACGTTTTGGACGGAATCACGGAATCACGTGTCGTTGTTCGTAAAGGAAAGTCGTCAACCTTTCGGAACCATGCCATCCACTTACATGTGAGTCCGTGTATAGAGCCCAAAAAAACTAGCAAACAAAGTATGGGTCCAGAAGAGTTCGGACAACAACACTTTCCGCTGACTGTCCTTGTTGAAGTAACATGGAATCCTGTTTGATTTGGTGTTGTCAGATGACATCCCGGTGTTTTTGTTCGGCTCATGCGCTGAAGATAAAACCATCAAGCGCATGTCGGATGTTTGGCTGATGCAGCTGCAAACCCTGCTGACACAAAGGATCGGTTTGAACAATACAGTATATTATATATACGTTTAACAAAAATAATACATAGCATATATGCAACAAATTAGCAATATGTTGTTGTTTTTGCTGCTGTCGTTGTCATTGTCTGTTGTTGCTGTTGTTCCGGTTGGCTCGTTGTCTATGTTGTCCTGCTGCCCCTCCATTTCCAAGCAAACACCGCACCTGAACCATCCCAATTTCCCACTGGACTACACGATCTCCGTCGAGCTCGGATCGTTTTCGAGGAACTTGAAATGTGTCAAACATGATCTGTAGACTTCGCTCTCGATCCTCTCTGGGCGTTAAGGCCGCCTCTGAGAGCAAAATCGGGTGCTCCTCCGCAGCTCCGTTTGGGAGACAAAACGGGGACCCGAAAGCAACTGGTGGGTGTTAGCAAGATGCTGCAAGCATCCCTTCCACCACTTCTACCTAGCTCCCACCAAGCAACATTATGTTGGACACGCGCACACACACACATATATATATATATGTAGGCACACATACACACCCACTTAGTCATGTGCAAATGAACCATTTGACCTCCTGCCTCTCTCTACACCCCCAAACATCCCCAAACCCTTTGAAACATAATCTTTGAATTATCCAGGAGGGGTCAGGGTCATCAATTTGTAGCTCTATTGCTCCACAAAGAGGTAAAGGTCGACACCTTACAAAAATGCAGGAAACCCCTTACAAAATGGTCCATGCCAATAATCTTCACTTGAGGCTGAAATGGTCATTGCGTTATTTTGAGTAACACATATTACTGTAGTAAAGTTGATGCACAATTGTTGATGCTTTGTTTGTGCCTCCATGTTTCGTTGAAGTGTTGATCTTCTTGCATCGTCTAGGATCCCCATGGATATTCATCAAATTCTGTGAGCTCAGATTTTGCTACACGATTCTGTTTCTTGTTATTCTCAAAGGTTGTGCAACCATCACGGCGAAGTCTGCTTGACACTGACACATGACTAAAATTCATAAAGTGATGCAAACGATGAACAGTTTGCCCATGTTTGCCCCATTCAAGTGTAATCAAATCATTCAAATTCACGGTGGCTGATTGTTAGGTGTCAAAATGCATGCTCGAACATTCAAAGAATTCAATCAAAACTAGGTAGATGTGGTTTACAACATGGTGTGGTGCCTGATTGTGTCTACAAAGAGGCACTCGCCAAATCCATCAGTAAATCCATCCAAATTCCCTGAATCCATCATGTAATCCATCTGCCTGATTTGTTTGATTTTTTTTGGTCATCAAGCTCTTCTTGCTGAGTGTAGCTGCCAGCTGGGCTGCGGGGGGGCAATCTATCTGGGCCTAGGCAACAAAAGCAACATTCCCTATCAATCATTGAAATTGAATCCCGAGCTAAATATCCACACCCCAATGCAACTATGCATGGGATCCCGACCCCTCTCTAATCCAAACAATCTCCCCATTACAAAACAGAACGGCAGGCCCTGGAAGTGCACTTTGTCACCAATTTTGAGTGATCTGGAGGTGCATTGTTAGTAAAGTTCAAGGATCTACTGAGACTAATTCACAGCACCAGTAGTGCCAAGGACATCTCAACTGCTGTACTCTGAAAAAATGCATAGGCCTTGAACCACAAAAAACAAAACAATCCTGGGAGACTCTTTGGTGAGTAAACAGAAAACACAATAATCAAAAAAACAAAAAAAACATCCTGACAGAGTCTTTGGACACCACCCCCCCAGCCCAAGACCTCCCAGCAATTGTTTTTTTTGTTTTTAGGGTTTACTCACCAAAGAGTCTCTCAGGATTGTTTTTTTTTGTTTTTGGACGCCTACCCCAAGACAAGACTTCTGAAGAGTTGGTTAGTTTTGTTTCTGTTATTTTGTGTTTTGGCATCTCTAACTTGTTCATCACATTCATCGTTTTTTTGTTACAAGTAGAGCACCTTATAGCATTTCTGAATTCTAATTCGTCTTATTCACTACTGTAATAATCATTAGTTTATTGAGTTTTATTTTTCAATGATATCAGATTTGATAGTACCCAACCGTTCTATAAATTTGTCCATACAATAAGGTGTGGATGTTTTGCCACTTCTATTCACCACATTCACATATAACCGCAAGGTTTATGCTCTTGATATGTGCCCTTAATCCTATCAGAAGAAGTCACAGTCAGACATTCAACATATCCATTACACCAAAAAGAAATATATTCAAAGTTGGTATTATACTGTTCAAATTCAATAAAAGAACCTTCAGGGGGTAGTTTGAATTGTTGCACCGCAATTGCTAAACAACCCCTTTCATAATGCTCTTCCAAGCACTTTTTTTGAAAACGGGATGAGAACAATACCTACAGATATGTGTTTTATTGTTATCTGTATTCAACTGACAATTTAATAACCTACTCAAACTTCTTATTAAAGCATCATGGTATCTATCTTTATCATCAAAAACTCTCAATAAGTCAATATGATATTTAGCATTTGACACGTTGGTTGCTCTTGTTTTGGTTATGTTTTTCTTCATTAACAATAGCATTTGTTTCAAGACCATTTACTGAAATTAAACCATCATCATTCACTTCAAGCCTATCAATATCTCTATTACCTGCTGGAAAATTGACACCTTCCCTATTGATGATGTCATCCTTCAATTTGTTATAATGACACATTTCTTCTTGGTGATGTTTATTATTAATCTTATCAAAACTACTGATTGAATACAATACCTTAGACTTGTTATAATTATTGTTTATATTGATACAAGCCTGTTTTAACTTATATAACAAAATTAGGTGACTCTATATACATACCTATACCTGCCCGAGTTGGATTATATCTATCATAATGGATGGTTATAGAAACTACCTTTTAAATGTTAGATTTGACCTTGAAGCCTCAATCTGTTCTATTTGAAGTAGTATTTCTTTTACACTATCTGATCTAAAGCTTTATTCAAGTCATCTTCATTATGAATGTTGAATCTTGTTGATGGTAAATTATGATGAATCCCAGACTCACCTATATCACCATCAACATCTTCACCATCATTAACATTAGGCTTACTAAACCATGCTTCCGATCTTATGTTGAGTTTCATATTATGCTTTTTTAAAGAAATTCTACAAGTACATAAGGATTGTTGATGTTGTATCATTGATAAGCCTTGTTCTCCTTTAAAGTGCTTGTTTATGAGCTTAAGATTATTTGCATATCTGTTAAAAGCTGATTTACCTTTTCTACTCTGAACTTATTTTTGATAGCATATGTGGTTAGGGCTTTCTTCATGCCTACAGCCAATGAGATTATCTTATGGTCGTAACTTCTATATTCATTGGTTTTCTTCACTGATTTCAATTTATGTTTCAATCTGTTTGAGATATCGTTGTTTGTGTTATATCTGAATTGTTTATTGTCAATAACTATTGACTTTAGTTCTGTGTTATCATTTTTGGTATTTCTGCTTTATCAGTTTTAAGCAAATAATCTATATTTTGTCATAATATAACACTAATATTTTATACATTAACTACTCTTTAAGTGTATATATATTCAATGAATTTATACTTAAAGATATATTAATTTGTAATATTATGTTATTTTAGGAATTCTTGGGATACCTATTTAAAGAAATATTTGTATTAATATTCAATGAGTATATATGAGTATACTTGGGGAAATACTTGTGATGAAGGCAAACATGTCAAATAACTTAGTAGATAACTTAGTACAGCTCAACAATTGGTGAAAAAGTGCACTTCCACAGCCTGCCGGACTCTTACAAAAAGGGCTCCATGCTAGCTACATACCACTCTACATACCAAAAACACCTTTTTAGAGCAAACGTGGCAAACGTGTTTGTTACTAGTTACTTGCATTTATATAATAATGCAATACAACGACTATAAGTATATGCACAAAAAGGGTGTGCAATCCACAGTGACATCCTCCCACAAAGAACAAAATGACCCCTCAAATCCCAAGGCATCCCTTAGTATCTTTGTGTATACAGGACAATTCCACACGGATCAGCCACACGGATCTGTGTCGACCCCGATCCCACTGGACTCCGGACAACCCGGGTGGTCCCCGTCTCCTCAAGGGCGATGCGGAGCTCGTTGAAGAAGACGTGGTGCCAAATCTGTTCGACCTCCTCCCAGTGCACCACCAAGCCACGCTCGATGGGCACGCGTCGCCGCAAGACACCACGTCGACGGTTCGCCTCCTGGTGACCGGAAGCGACGGTGAGCGGCTGGGTGAGATGGGTGGAAACAGGGAACAAAGGGAGATGGCAGTAGATGGTGTACACGGAAAGTATTCGAGAGCCAGTAGATGCATTGTATACAATATTATGCAATGCTTTCGGCAACAAGGATTGGATCTGGAATCAGCAACAGCTTGTGCACACGAACGCAACGCTCTGCTCTGCTTCAGTTGCAGTGTGCATCCAACAAAGGTTCCCTGCGATGCTCTCCACGAGGTGACGACTCTCGTCACCTTTCCTCTCGGGCCATCCCGGTCCTCTCCGACATAGGCCGCTTGGGGATTCTGGCCCATCAACAGGGCAATCTGCGGATGCCGCGGCACGCCAACCACCGAGGGGAACACGATGTCGGGCACCTCGATCGAAGGGATCGCAAAGCATCCATCCCCATGCTTTCAGGTGGAAAAGGCCTCCCCTGAATTGAGCGAACAAAGTGGAATCCACCGACTGGCAAAGGGGGGAATTCTAAAGGTGCACCTGACCTCACCTGACCTTGCGATGCAAAGAATCTTTTTAAACAAAACTGGCCCTTATTTGGGTCGCAAAGCAAGTCACTAGAACCTCACCCTCTGCTGTTTCAGGGTTGGACACCTCTTCCACCAGCGCCGCCTGTCCTGAAAAACATGATTGAAAACTGACAGTTACAGTCACAGTAGCTCAGTAGCCATTTCTTGCATACCGTTCCACTGCCTGATCTGGCAGTAGCCTTGCCTGTCGCGCTACCCATGGCATTCCACCACGTGCGACCGGGAATCGCACGGTTGAAACCCCGCCGATCGTCCAACGACCCCATCGATCACACCGACCAGACGGTGAAACACCCGGGTGAATCATGAGGCTCAATGAGAGAATGACCCCCCTGACTAGAAGTACCTGAGGACTTAGTAGATCTTAGTAGGACTTAGGATCCATTCATCATTCCCTCATTTCCGCACCTTTTCCGCAAACGCTGGGAAGAACATGTCTCTCGGCGCTGTGCGGAGCAGCGCGCCTCATCGCCCGCAAAGCCTGCTTTGGTCATCGCGCTGCCCGTCTCTACGACGACGGGGCGGTGATCTTCCATCCGACGACGGTGGCTGCCGCGTCTCAAGACGCGGCGATGATGGAACGTCCAACGTTCACAACACCACGGCTCGTTCACGGGCAAAGGATAAACATCGAAGCAAGTGATCGAACTGCCTGTAGCTCGAACAAACGCTTCCGTGTTTGAAAGGGGAAGATGATGGAAGATTGAATATATGGATGTCCCCTCAACTGTCAGCCCCCTGAGCAGCAAGGAGCTCAACTTACTACAGTAACTCACTGAGGGGGTGGCCTGTAGCCGGCTCGTGGTTGCAAATGTGATTGTAAGAGATTGTAGGTCAAGTTCTCACTTGTTCAGTTTGAGTCCAGGCTTGATCCCTGCACAAAGGCGCCAAACCTCTCAACGATTGCAGCAGCCAACCGTCGGCAGTCAGCATGTGGGCCATCAGCCACTGGGCAGAAACACGACCATGCGGTTCTTCGTCAACACTGAAGAAACAGCATGCCTTTGTTTCCGGTATCTGACTTTATCTTTTTTGATTTTTTTGTATCATTGTTGGCGATCCATGTCCAGGGTGAACGCAGGCAAAAAGAACATAGAAATTCCGCACCACCGGTCGGGGAAGGGGTTATATATGGTTATATAGAGTCATATACACGCTAAGTCCCCATGGCCACCCGAAGTGCGTGACACCAGTGAGGTTGAAAAACAACTCTCAGTGCGAAGCTCGCAATGTGGTATTGGGGTGTCTCTCAGCCCATCTGCATACTGAAACCCATCTGAAACCCAAGTCCTACTAGCGTAGTAGTAAGGCCAGGAGCCCCTAGTAGCGTCCTTGCTTCTATTAGCAATGAAACCCAAGACCCTGACTCTATCGGCCTTCACGACTGTCACTCACTCCGTGTGCAGCGATCTGGTCCAAGCGCCCGCGCTGGTGCGCACGTTCAGCTCCGAGACGTAGCTGAATTCCTGTGGATCCATGGAGAGTCAGTGGGTGGCTTAGCCTTGAGGTTGGTGGAGAATGTTCTCCTCCCTCGCATTCATTCACATGCTGCCAAATCATTGGAAAAATCCAAGCCCCTTAAATAAGCACCTGCCTTCCAAACACATTGACCAAGAACCTCCTTGAATCACATCGACCAAGACCCTGGATTAAACATGGAATAAAGCACAAAATGACCAAAAGACCAGTTATATACATTATAATCTCCGGTTTTCGGTGAATTTCTATTTGCCCTGCTGGGCGCTTCACCACCTTCAGCCCCCCCCCCACAGCGAGGTCCCGCCGTTTTCAATCCGCCCGCCTCGGTGCTTTGGCTGGAATCCAACCGTCCCACCTGAAGACTCGGCTCAAACGTTGGCAGGACGGCAGTGGGACCACTTGAAGTGGGACCTTAGTTTTCTTCTCCGGCGGGGCTATTTGATGCACTTCTATGATCTGATCAAACGTTGTTATATAATGGTTTTCGGTCTGCCTGGTCTGCCCCCATCTCTGTCTCTCTCTCTCTCTCTCTGACATCTCAAGCTGCATCGGACAAACTTGCGAGCTCGGACATTGGTCGGCACATCAGGCGCCCGCACGAAGACGGGGGGTGTCTCGCCCACACGGGGTTGATCCTGGGACGGTCACAGTGGATCCTGTTTTTGTTGTAGCTGTGGTTCTCAGTTACGTGTCCATCCTTGGCTAACTAACCTCAACCCTCACGCCCACACGCATGCACTCAGCAGAAGTCAATGATCTTATGACCCTGTGACCCTTCACATCACTACCTCACTGCGTCCGAGCTGCACCGATGGGCGTCAAAAAACGCAGAATCACCTCAGTCCGGTGCCAGCAGCTTGGAGCCGAAAACCGGAGAGACTCGAAAAGAGGGACTCTCAGCTACCTGCTGCAAGCGCGAAAATCATGAAGTCGGAGGGTGCCTGGCATGAAGGAAAGAGTCCGGCAGCCTTGTAAGACTCGATTAAAGATCCCCCGTGAACCTGTGATCTCATGGCACTTATGAGGATGTACATCTAGTGTGCGCATCTTGTGCGCAAAGGCAACATGTGTTGTATTAAGTGTATAATAATATATACATATGTATATATATATAATATAATATATATATATATACGTTTTTTGTATACATGCCTACTTACATACAATAGAGAGGGAGAGAGGGAGAGAGAAAAATATATATATATGCATGTATATGTGCAATTATGCGGATAGGCCGCGCCGCATAGGTGTCATTCTACGTGTATGCATGCAAATGGAGTTCCACTGTCGGAGCCCTTTCTCAAAGCGCCTCTCCGGCTGCGAGTGCGGCGCGAATGCTGGGCAAGAGTCGGATGCCCATCCTCAGCACATCCACTCAGTGACAGTCAACACGAGAGGCTGAGATGCAAGAATGGGGAGAAGCCTATGCAAGTTCCGTTCTGCAACCGATGGGGAGGAATTTTCGGGCATCCCACTACTAAAAAGTCAAAGACTCCACACGGTTTCGGGATCGCCAGTTGGGGTGGCAAAGTTTGATTTTTGCCCAATAAGACCAAGCAAAGGCTAGCTGCTAAGCTGCTAAGCTTTACATTGAAAAACACTTAAATACATTTGAAGTATATATTAAAGGAAAATTATAAAGTATTCTGCACTACTCCTGATTTACCCTACTTTCTCACTTGACTTGTCACATAAAAGCAAACGCAGCTTGACCTCCTTAGGCCTGGCCTGTTAAAAAGTCCTGTCAACGATATCTCCCAGAAAGCTTTGCTCAACCGGTAATCCGCACGAAGCTGGCTGAGCTCACCGGCTTTTGAGAGGCGTTTTGGCATACGAAAAAGCACCTGGGCTGCTGCAACCTCTTCCCAGCTGCATTAGGTATCCTAGTTGAATGCCGTCTGCTCAACAGCCAAACTTCTGGTATAGAGAAATTTCAAAATTACACTACTATCTAACTTATTTCCTTGATGCAATGACCAGCACCCTCAAGAGCCATTCCAACTCATTCCAACCACATCCGCCTGTCCAGCACTCCAGCTTCACATCCCATTCCACCCATTCCACCCGTCCACGGTGCTTCACCCTCGTGGCCGCGGCCCGCAGGTTCCAGGGCCGAGCACTCTAGCCCAAAGTGTGGATGTTGAATCCGACTCATCCACCTCGCCAAATGTGAAGGGTCTGGGCTTTCAGCACACCGTGGTCTCTAAGATCGGCTTAAGCTTCCGGGTAGTAGATTAGATGGTCTGGACTAAGCTACATAGTCAAGTCACTCATCGTGTCGACTGTGCGGAACAAATATATATATATATACACGATTATATACGTATGTATATACAGTGTGTATATATATATATTATACAACGTTCGCAATGTTTACTGATTCATACTCGCATATGATCACTGTGGCATCACGATGGTAGCCCTTCTGGTGTGACTCAAATTTGGAGATGCCTCCTTTTCGCGTAGCGGCGTAGCAGCGCTCGGCGCCGAGTTGGGCCACCGGGCTCGGAAAACACGGGCCTCGGCGTCGAAGGGCAGTGCTCGTCTCTCGGTCCAGGGATGATCATCTACGATCATCTAAATCATTCTAATATATTCTAATTATAATTAAATCTGTCTGGTGCACCCACACGTGTGGGTGGTGTTTGTTTGACCCTTTGCCCCTGACGATGCGATGTTCCAGTCACCACCGTCACGAAACCTGTTGACACCCGGTGGAGGGGGTGGTGCCCAGGTGGTGCCGTGGTTGAGCCCGAGTCTGTGGACCCCAAGGTGCTCAGTGAGCTGTCCCGGCAGTCTGGCTCTGAGCATGGGCCGGTCTGCTGAGCAAACAAGGAGCATAGCTACACTCCCTGGAGCTAACATCGAAGTGGATGTCATGGCCTCTTGGAAGACCATGTTCCTCTACAATACAGGGTTTTCCACTTCCATGTTAGTTCCAGGGGGAGTAATTAATTAGTTTAAGGACCAAACAGGTGTGAGAGCAACACGGTGTGAGAAAGTACAAAGACCGGTCTCCTTCCAATGAGGATCTTGAATGCAGGCCGGCCCTGCCTGAGAGTACTGGACAAAGGGCACAAAATTAAACAAACAACTCCACCCAACCAGACTTTAATCACTGGATCGCAAACATCAACTTTATTCAGCAACAGCTCCCCATCAGCTCCCGTCAAACCCACAAGTTCACAAGTTCAATCATTGACGCGAGTAATGTTCCTCCCGCTCAACATGCCTGTCATCCTCTTGAGCACAGTGACCTTCCCCCTTCTAAAACCTGCAAAAACTCGGGGATTCTGTGCTCCAAAGCATTCCAAAATCGAGCTCCAACAACTGTTCATAGGCCCCCTGAGAGACTGAGAGAGAGAGAGAGAGCCTTGGAGAAAAAAAACACCCACACGAAAACGCTGCTACCCAACAGCAACTCGCGCACCTCTTCCCGCACCTCAGCCCTTCCACATATTAGTGGGGGCATTTGTCCGGCATGCCACATGACTTATGTTATGTGACAAGCCTGACTCTATAAATTGTATATCAGATAATATATATATTTATATATATGAAATAAATATTAAATATTGTTCTATGACCTGAAAACAAAAGCAGCTCTTACTGGCTCCTACCCTAACTGACACTCGACTTCCTCACCCAGAGAAACCCACCGCTCCGCAGCCGAGCTGCGTCACCGCTAGGCGCGGGAGCTTCAGCTCAGCACAGCAGTGGGCGATGTCGCGCCTGGGGCGATGCGTGGAGAACCGCCCAAGCACACCGGGAACGAATTGGTGGCGCCTTTCATGATTCATTTGGATTGGAATGCAAGGCGCCCCCAAACCCCCCAAACCCCAGTGGCTTTTGGTTGAGATGTTTTCTGGCCGAGGGGGCCGACGGGTTTTGGAAAGCCTTCTTCTTTGGACACCCACATCTTCAATCACCCAAAGAGTGTGGAAAAAGGACCGGTCATGTGACGCATGTGACACATGTAGCATGTGTTCGTGAGTCTGCCGGACTGGATGTTTGGGGAAATGACTTCGGTTTCAACGATTCGTGGATGATCCCCTACTTGGAGCAGTTTCCTTTCAAGAAAACAGCAAGGAAACGTGTGAGCCCATGTGAGCTTGTTGGTTTAGTCCAGCAGCTCCTCTCAATAGGCACCCCGCAAACCACTCCTTAGCTATCCTTAGCTGTAAGCCACTGCAAGCGTTTAGTGAAGGTTGCTATCTTCCGGGGTCTCTAACACCCCAAGAGCACCCATTAACACCCTAACTATTAGTCTCAAAGATGTCCACTTTTAACATCGAGTTTGTGTGGCATGTCCGCCGAGTTTGTGGGCGATCGTTGCATTGGGAGTGCTAATGGGTTGGCTATGTCAATGTCAATCAAGCTCGAGCCAAGAAGTATACAGCGTCCAACGCCAACCTTTTGGAACTTTAGAATATCCGTGAGTATCCCCTTGGACCTGTGTCTTAATAGGAACCAGAGCATCTTTGGGGTGATTGCGGCCCAAAGTTGAGGTCACTCAGGTTCAGCCTTGCGTTTTCCAACTCAACTCACACCACGTCAACTGATTAAGGGCAACTACAGTTTTGACTTGTGACTACTTTTGAGATGTCTATCAACTTATATACACCCCGGCTCGCTACCATAACATGGAAGTGGGAAGCCTCTGTTCGCAAGAGGAACTACTGTACTCTTCTCAGGGGCCATTGTCCAATTCCATGTGATGTGTGTTTGGAGGTCTGCGAACTCTGGCATGTAGGCTTTGATAGGCGTTGTGGTCGTTTCTTCGGTCAATACCACATGTTTATATCATAGTCCTGGTCTATGTCTCTACCTTCTGCAAAAACACAAAACCCATCTGTTTTGGTCTGGTTGCTTCTTCCTAAGTGGCCGCACTCGAACAGCTGCTCCAGGTAAGGCAGCACCTGGAGCGGGCTTCACCGCTCCCCGGCTCGCCGCGGCGGGCCCAACGGAGGTTCATGGTTTATGTTGGCAATGGGGCACCCCAAAAAAGCTGCACGCCAAAACGATACTAGCCGATGTATATTAATTTATGTATATATATATATTATTTTGTGCGTGTACTGTACTAGCGCAGTAAGGGCAAGTGCATGGCACAGCGCCACTGAAGAAAAGTCAATGCAGGCCAAGGAAAGTCAATGAGTAGGCTGGAAGTTTCCATGGCACAGCCTGTTTCACCAGCATGGCAAACTCAATCAAACTACTCATCATCAATGCTAGGCCCTGCTAGGCCCCTAGGCACAGCAATGAATTCTATCAATGTCATACCAACGTGCACCAGTTTGGCTCAAATGACTATAGGGAAGTCCCAACACCTCCAGGTTTTAAAGAAGGCGACTGACAAAGACTCGTTTCTCAGGCGGCTCAAGGCCCGAATTACACCCCTTGAGCGGTACTTGAGTCCCAAATGTTTTGATAGGGCGAATGCTCCAATCATTTCCAATCGATGCTTTCCCGATCGATTGGAGTTAAATGGTCACATAAGTGCAAAGCATGGGCTGACTAACTTTGGGGGCATACATTCCCTGCGCACATATTGTTGATACATCGACTTGATCGAGAGACATTGACTTCAAGGCGTAAGATGCAAAGGTATCCGAATGTGAAAATGTCAAAACATGACGAAAAACAACATTCAAAAAACGGAAAGGGACTGTTGTTGATGTCAGGAAAAGTGAGATTGACTGAGGTTGAGTGAGATATGCCGTTTAGTCGATGTCTTTCCCACCCCTGAAGAGCCGCTGATCCGCTGTAACAGCTCCTCATCTCCGAGAGTCCTCCAAGGCGCGTGGGGATGTCCAATGCAATCATCGGTCTTGAAGAGACCCTCCAAGGCCATGGCCTCACGAGAAAAGGCGTCCAAAGCCACACCTGAAACCCGACCCCTCTTAGGTTCTTGGAGGCTGCGAGAAAGGACCACCATAGATTGGCTCAACCTGCTTGGCACCTCAAACTCTCGAGTTGGAGAAGAATTGCCCCAACTCAGTGGCTTTTGTGTGGGACAATGGCCCCTCAATGATGCAAGCCCATCATGCATCATACACTAACTATCCCCACTCTATGCAGTCCATTACGCCAAGCACCTTGCTGAAAAGCTTGCTCCTTTCAGCTCGCCACCAGGCACCCCGCCCGATCCCACAAAGCTTCTTCTCCGCGGCATCCGCTCCTTTTCTCCAAGCCCCGACGGCGACGGCACCGTGCCCGTGGCTCCGCGGCTCCGTTCGGCGCACTCCGCGGTCCACGTGGTCAGCCTCAGGTGGAGCGGAGAGATGGAAGGCGGAGGAGTGGCCAGGGTGGCTGTGCTCCCTACCAAGTGCAAAGCACATCACGGTGCGTACAGTACATGCCAAGTCCAAATCCACCCTACATTCCAACTAACATGGAATCCCTTGTTTATATAAAGGAAAGGCGTCTTCCAAGGCCATTGTCCACTTCCAAATGAATCAGAGTGTGTAACGGGGCACATCGAAGCTAAATCTCGAAACATCAGCATCGGGCACCACCCAAATCTACATGAGCCAATTGACAACGAAAACAATTTGTATAAAACCCTGCAGAGTCTTCGTGTCTTGTCAAGTTGGCATATCCTGGCGAGCGCGCAGCGCGTTAAAGGCACAATATTTTCTCAGGACTGTTTGGTAGAAAACAGCGGCTGCTGCGCTTTTCTCGGATAACCACGGCCGCCCGCTTCGGCGCTCCCGCTTCGCCGCTTGAGCTCGGGCGCCTCTATGCGCTTCTGTGGGTGACATGGTCGAAAGGTCCAAAGTCGTCGGCCTAGGCCTTGGCCATTGGAGCGGCCACCGTAGTCCGAATACGATTGAAGTCAAAGTCTTCAAAGCTCAATCGCTGCACATTTTGGAACGACAGAGCCCCATTCTGCCGAAGAAACCTCGGGGTGGGATTGCAGCTGGCCGAACGCCCTGCAAGCTGCGTCCCTTTGGTCACTCGCATACTTCACGGTCAGCATTTTCACGGAGCGCAACTCAGAGACGGACAGCGTTGGATGCGGCAGCGATTTGGTCACCTCTGAGAAGACTGGCTTCCGCAAGACTGCGACAAGCTCAAAAGGTCTCTCTATCACCTTCTTGGGTGCCCCTTCTGGCTGCATACAGGTATGCCCACAGCCATTAGAACAACAAAGGTGATCAGCTTTGCCTACCGCTTCGCAATCCAGGTTGGTTTCACATTCTTCCACACAAATGCCCATACTGGTGCCCACCGCTGGGCATCTCTGGGCTTGTGATTGGATGATACAGCAAATCCAGAAATGCCAAGCCAAGCCCATCAGCACAGCGGATGGGACGAAACAAAAGATTGCAATTCAAAGCTTCGTTTGGGCCATGCAAGCCGTTCATCTGCGCCACGCATGAGGTGTCAGTGGTCTAAGCCAAGTTGCTGAAGATGAAATCAGGGGCCTATAGCATGTATTGGCGTGTATAGATCTACACAGTAATGATCGTACCTGGCCAGTGCTGCATGATCCAAGAACATACAAACAATGAACACGATCCAAGATTCCGAAGGGTTATGAACAATCCATGCATGATCAAGCTGGAGAGTCGGCACTTCCACCCAAACCAAAATGCCAAGCCACTCCACAGCTGCGTTTTGCGCCTGCTGCGCAGCAGGAAGTGCAGCACGTCCATCATCGGCAAAGAAATGCAAGGCATGGGCAACAGCTGATGGCAGACTTCATCCATGTTCCAACGGCTTGCCTGGGGCGCTTGAAGCGGCTAAACTAAACGGGAGGCCGTTTGGTGGCACATGGCAGAAACGAAGGCGCGACCGTGCACCACTCTGCTTCCAATGATTGGAAAGACTAATGTTTGATGGCTACGGGGCAAGGAAGGTGGTAGATAAGTAATATTATATATATATATATGATTATATATGTGTTGATTGTTTTTAAGAAGCCTCTGGTGAAGGGTTACAAGGGGCTCCGAAATAGTCACCGGCAATTGTTTGAACATTTGTTTTCAATTGTTTTGCAATTGTTCAATTGTTTGGGTAATTGTTTTGCAACTGTTGGAATATTTAAAGCAATTGTTTCAACATATGTTCAATATATTCAACAATTGTTTCAACAATTGTTCAATATTTCAAACAATTGTTTTGCAATTGTTTTGAATTTGTTGAATATTTGCAACAATGGTTTTGCAATTGCTTTGGAATTGTTGAATATTAGCAACAATTGCTGCGCAATTGTTTTTGAAATTGTTGCTTATGTTCAACATGTTTGTTCGCAAGCAAACCTTTTGAACATACTGAACATACTGAACATGCAAGTTAGTAATGGTCGGTTTAACATGCATCACATCGATGGCTGGGGCTGCTATATAACAGCAACAAAAAACATGCATCACATCGATAGCTGCCTCCATCCTTAGCCTTTTCACATGTTGTGATAATATCTGGTTCACTTTCCTCCATCAATCCTTTGGTTCAAGATGGCCCCCACAATTGGCGAAAGAGTTTCGCTTCCATGCTGAATGGGTGGGGGCGATGCTGAGCTTACATGATTTGGCAGGGATTGCGCTTGGTGGCCAGCAGCCTGCTAGGGCCGGTCTTAGACCTGGTGCTGGTGGACGTGGCCGCCTTGGGCGTGGTGTTGGAGTTGGTGGCCGCCTTGGGCGTTGTGTTTGCCTGGGGCGTGGCGGCCGTGGCTTGGCCAATGCTTTCAGGGCAAGAGCTAGGCGGATGAATGCAAGGAGAAGCCGGGTCAGTTTCTTGAGGAAAAAAAGAAAAGAGCGCAGGGCAGACTCGTTCAGGCTGCAGGCTCAAGCGTCCAATGCGTCAGGGCGCCATAGAACCCTAGATCATTTGCTTCCTTTGCAGCCTGCTGATGAAGCCAAGCCCAAACCAAAAGGTCGAGGCGCTTGGAAGCAGTGGACGCCTGAGGCTATTTTGAGGGCCGCCTTTGGCGAGGCTACTGCAACAGTAAGGCAAGCAGCAAGGGAAGTTGATGGGGCAAGTGCTGCCCATGTGATCAAAGCCCGCATGTTCATTGGCAAGTGCCTCCTTGATTGTCAAGCCAAGCATATCCAATCAGAGATAAACCGGCTGCGTGAAAGAGGTTTGCTGCTGTATCACATAGTGAACCTGATGTTCGACGAGACAGAGTTGGATGTTTCTTTGAAACAAGTTGGGTCTGCAAGCTGGTCAGTCTTGGCAAGCCACAGCCAACTTAGCATCTGTGCTGCAGGCCAGAATGTGGAGATTGACATAGCAAGGCCGCCAAGGGCTCTAGCTCGTAAAACGGCTGAGTGCATGTGGGGCGCGCTGTGCCTGGACCAAGGCACCCTTGGGCCTGGTTTCATTGGGTCTCCAGCAAAGTTCTCTGCTGTGCTGGTGTCGTGTGACCAGCATGCAGCCAACATACGGCTGCTCAAACACTTGCATGCAGTGATGCCGCAGAACTCCTTCATATTTCCCAGCCTGTGCGCCCAGCATCGAAATGGAAATGTCATTGAAAGGGCAACCAAACATCTAGGCATATTGCCAGGTTCATTTTGCGTGTCCAAGAGCACCCGCCGAGGGAAGTTTCTGCAAGACCTCACAAAAGCAGTTGAAAAAGTCTTGTCTGAAAACCTGGTGATCATGGACGCAGAGCCTCCTGGCTTGCAAGCGATCCAAAGCAACAGGTCTGCAAGTGGAAAGGCAACTTCTTGGGTTGGACCCTGGTTCCGAACATGGATCTGACAACAGTCAAAATAGTGATGATGAAGTTGATCAGGTCAAACCAACAAGCGCATTTTCAAGGTTGGAAATGGCGGATCACTTTGACCCTTCCAGCTTTGCAGCCAGCAGGGCAAAACAAAGCGGCGCATCTGAGCATCCTTTGCCCCAGGCCCCGCTTCGAATCCTGCAGAGGTGACCTCTGCCACAGCAAATCGCCAACGCAGAGGTGAGTCTTGGGGTGCATTTTATCTAGCGCCCATTTACACCCAAGGCGTGCGAACTGGTTATGGTGCAATCTGTGGGTTGCACCAGAACTCCGACGATGTGCCAGGAACCTCGTGCAGAAAAGCGTTGACCACAGGCGACTTACCTGAGGAAGAGTGCAGGGTTCGTCTCAAACGTTGGCTGATGGCAGGGTTGGATGACAAGAACTGGCCAGCAGGCCAAGAGCGATCATTGCATCTATCAATGGGGGGGGCTTCGCTCAGTAGATTTCAGCTCTGGAGAATCAGAATAGTGCTTAGGCATTTAAAAAAAACGGCTGCTTTGAGGTTTGCGCTCGGCTAGCTGAAGCAATCAGTGTCAGGCAAAGTTGTTTTGACTGGAATGTGTTGAGGTTGACCTTTTATCTTAGGCATGAGCCAGTGGTACCGACTATGACAGTCAATATTTTTAGTTAGAATTACCATATCTATTAATTTTCTATTTTTATTTTACAACAAGTGTCCAAAACTATCGCCGTCAAAATCTCTACAAATGATTTGTAGAGAACAGTTTTTCTATCATATAGATATATAAAGAAACATTATCTGGGAATATATATATATATATGAAATCTCTACAAACCATTTGTAGAGAAAAGTGTTGGCAATTGTTTCCCCAAATGTTTCGACATTTCCCGAGAAATTCCAACATTTGTTTGCTGATTTGTCACAACTCGATTCAATTCAATGTTGTTCATTGGAGCACCTGTGCTGCAGTGACTGTTCAAAGTCCAAGAAAGTTGGGTTGCGCGCAGCGTTGCCTTGCGATGGCCTCCGGCAGCGAAGATGACCAGGCAGACCAGACGGCGCCGAGCGACCTAGGCTGTACTAGCTCTGCTGGTGCCAAGTGGCCCATATCGGTGGCTCACAGCAAACCTTGTCAATGCTGTCTGTGTTCTGCCAAAAGCACAGACCCAAACCCACTGGCACAGGACCCAGGTGAGGCAGAGGATATGCTTGCCACCAGGCCTTGGGCCAAGTACAAAGATTCTCTTTGTTGAAGTGGCAAAACCACCAAGAATTATGCTAGGTAGAGAGGCGCTAATCTTTCAAGGCTTTCCAGTTGAGCCCTTCTTGAAACAGGTGGCTGACGAAGACATTGACATTCATCAGCCCGCAAGAAAGGGCAAATCAAGCAAGCGGTCTACTCAGTCCAGAAAGTGGTTGACGGAGGGGCTGATGACTGACTTAGCTGGGAACGCGATGGCTCTGCCAGTGTTGCTTGCCATTACCCAGGGCGCAGTAGCATCTTTGCTTTTTAGACCAGCTGACAGCGCAGCTACTACAGAGGAAATAGACAACGCCCTTGCAGCACTAGGCGTCCTTCTAGGCTCAGAGACTTAAACCGAAACAGGCTTTGCCTTGGTTCTGGCCTTGCGCAGTTCGCTTCAACTGAGGCTTTGCTTCAAGAAGTTTCACTGTTGACTTGACTTTGAGCCTAGCTAGTGTGAAAAAATGCGGCAGGTCTTGCGGCTGGGCGAGGCTTAACCGAACCTCCTCTGCTGGCTGAAGTATGTAAGGGTAGGGGTCCTCAGGCTCGAACTGGCTGCAAAAAACTGCAGAGGCAGTAGGCTTGAAGGTCTGTGCCAGGGTCCACTGCATGGGTGGGAGCAGTTTCTGGTGGACCTAGAAAAATAGATTGAGTCAGATTGAATTTTAAACTCTAACGTTTTAAATCTATAACTACTGTATAAGCTTGTTCTGAACAATGAACTAGGTGGCAGCGCTATCTAGTCCAATATGGCGCGACAGGCCACAGGCCATGGGCCCATAGGCGGTTTGACCTGAGCCTAGTGCAATTTGAGCTGGTCACAATTCAAGGCTTTAGTTTACCCAGTCAGCTGGTGGCTGGTGGCAGTTTTTCCCAGGCGCAGCTCTTCGCTTTCCATGTTTCTTTTGGCTTCAGGACGCCGGCCTTTCTTGTTGTGACTTCCTGCTTTCTGTTTTGCCCGCTGCGCCTCTTTGCCATGTTGCAGCTTGCAATGGGAGACTGGCTCTTGCTCGGCTTAGCTTTGTCATTCCTCTTGAACTGTGGCTTTGTAATTGGGATTGGGGTTCTACTTTGTTGCCATTCTTCAGCTGCTTCCTGTAGCGAACCTGGTAATGGCAGAAACCCTTCGAAAGGGCCCTGCGCGTGTTTGCAAGATTCAGGGCTCAGCCCATGTGACAACGATCTGCCAACAGGAGCACACAGCAAAAAGCATGATGATTTTGATTCTGCGGTTCATCTGGCTGCATCAGCGTATGTACTCCACTTTCAAGGCTCTGATGTGTACCACTGTACAGCCAACTGTCAGCATATTAGACGAAGGGGTGCTGGCAAAGCTCAGCAACTCAGGCCCTGCAAGCATTGCGCACAGCAGGGCTGATGCAATACCGATACCTGTATTTGGACGGAAAAATAGCTGCTGGAGCTGCGGCTGACCCTGCTAGGTCCTATCAGGGTCGCAACCAAGAGAACAACTATCAGATGTTTTGTTGGCTAATGGGTCCAGGCTGGTGCGCTTGTCTGTTTTTGGACTAACTGTGGTTCCATTGGCTGCAGTCGAATTGAAACCCTTGAGGGGCTTGAACAAAAGCTCACACACATGTGGAAACAAGTTTCATCCATCAAATCAGCGCTTGCGCCAATACTATCTTGAAGGAAGTAGCAGAAAAGGCTACCGCTTCGACATAATTGCGGAGAAAAGTGTTTCACATATTGATACCAGTGCTAGAACAAGATGCAGCACTGCAGCACTCGTTTAAAAGTTGGAAGCAGTGCCAAAACAAAACAATTTCAAACAATGGCAAAAAATAAAACAACTTTTAAAATGACTGTTAGTAAATTGAAAAACATGTTGAAAGATTTTCAACAAGTCCCAAAACAATTGAAACAATTGCTGCAAATTTTCAACAATTTTGGAAACAATTGAAACAATTGCTACAACAATTTTGAGCAGTTTTCAACAAATTCTATAACAATTGAAACAATTGCTACAACAATTTTGAGTAATTTTCAACAATTTCCAAAACAATTGAAACAATTGCTACAACCATTTTGAACAATTTGCAAACAATTAAAACATTTGCCAAATCAATCTTAAACAATTGCAAACAATTTCTCTATATCCCCAAAGCTCCCGGACTACCAGGCTTCTTAAAAACAAACAATATATGTGTGTGTATGTAACGGGGCTAGGCCCGGCTAGACATTTGCTGAATGATGGCCCACATCATCATCATCATCATCATCATCATCATCATCATCAAGTGCCAGAAGCATTCAAAAACAGAAACACGGAGAACAAGAGGCAACGGTAACAAGGGGAGATGGTAGCCACCGTCAAGTCCGCTTCTTGGTCCAAATGATGCAGTCTGCCGGCTGCTAGATCCCCTGCAAGAATGCATCAACCTGCATCTTAATATGTGCATGCCTTCTCTAGCCAATAGAGCAGCGAGATTCTACTCCAAAGTCTGTCACTTCGAAGCAAGACCCACCGCCCTTAGACCCGCAACCATGGCCCATCCAAACCCTCCAAACCCTCGAACCCTCGAGCAGCGGCTTCTCCGGCTCCACATGGTAGGGATAGATCGTGTACTCACGGCCGGCCTCGCGACGGGATCCTTCGATCGAAACCGTGGTCGCAGACACGACCTGGGACTGGCCGTCCTATGGCAGCTGATGGTCAACCACCCCAAGTGATCGGCAGTCGGCAGTCCCATATGGACTGTTGGGGGAAATGTTGACCAAAGGCAAGACATTTTTCTCATGGAGGAGATTGATTCAAGTGTCACTATGTCGCTATTAGCAGTCATCTGCCCTTTACAACTAGGGCCTAGGGATCTATTCTCCATATCGTGCTGAACCTCAAACCTTGGCGCCAAGGGCATTCGGGTTCGCAGGGTCCAGGTCCAGTGTATCATTTGTCGGCGCTGCAGGAAAGAAATGCAATTGTTTCAAGCTGCCGCTCATACATAGAGCTGGGAGTGGGGATAGTCAATGGAGATTCATCACGCTTGATGCATTTCATCCAACCGCGTGTTGTCAAATCAAACATGAAACAACCATACACCGATACACCTCTCATGAGATTCCAATTTTCAACGCACATGTCTCACATCTTCAAACCTTTATCCATTTCCAACCGCTTGTCGCAGTTGACAAAGCACCATGGACCATCATCTTATGGATCCCGAGTTCAATACATATTATATACATACCCAGGTGAAACGCAGCGGCCTGCGCAGCGGATGGGCGACGAAGCTGTTTTCTTCGGAACGTCCGCGACCGTCGAAGCGTCTGACCTCCAAGGCCTCGAAGGCCTCTAGCACGTCCTTGCCATTCTCGTCCACCATCTGCGGTGTCGACACCAAGAAAGACATTGGGAGTCAAGCGCCCCTTTTGTTCAGGAAACTCCAGACTGAGTCATCTCACTCATTCTCAGTCTTCCCAAGTATACAAGAAGCCCCCTTCGGATTGATCTACCTTCTCAGAAGGTTCTTGAACCCTCCAAGCCTATATATATATACAATAAAAGTCTCTCCAATCACCCTCACAAAGGGGAGGTGGAATCATAGGGAAGTATGAACCTCCGGATGTGCCCACGTGGGCGTTTGGGTGTATAGCACATTTAAGGCTCTCCGAGCTTATTGTTCAGGCGATCAACGCTTTGGTTTCTTGAGGGAGTCCAATGAGGTCTTGATCGTGAGCCAGCATTTCGGCCAAGTTCAGTTAGACGAAGTATTGCATATCGCCCAATTGCATCTGAGCAAAAGGGTTATATCACCATCTCACATCAAAAAAAGGACTTGAACATACTTGAACAGGCATTTCAAGCAGTACACAGTACATCTTTAAGGGCCCACACAGAGAGGAAGCCGACAGTTGCAGCGGTCTCACTGAGGTGAACACCTTCGGACGTGTCCTTCGATAAGGGAGACCCCCAAAACCTATATAGTGGTTTGCAGGGTCCCACATGTTCCATCATCTTCCCATACAGTGGTTTCGAGTAGATGGCACTGGCACCCTAAGATGCCCTGTAATTCTTCGCTTTATTATATGCGAGTCCTCCAAAAGTCACCTTGCCATCGATGTGCCATCTACTCTGAAGTCGCTGTATCTCCATCAACGTCCCGCACGTTCCATCTCTTTCCCCCGCTGGGTCGTCCCGCTCGGAAGGCGAAGAGCGGCGGCAGGCCCACCGCGTCGGCGAGCTGCGTGTGGAGCGGCGCCGTCGTTCGGAGCTGCAGCGTTTCACCTGCGGTCGACCGTGCTCGGTGGCGCAGGGGGAGGCCAGAAACATCACAGACACCTGTGATCACCAGTGTGCTGGCCAACTCTTACAATATATGTATAATGGATGTACCAAATCAATCCAAATCATCAAATTTCCAAGTTGAGAAGGAAGCAAAGGGGTGAGAACTATGCGGTGGCTTCAGAAACCCATTATAAAAACCAACATGGTGCCCTTCTTTTTCAGGGTGCGGGAGCCCAACAATCTCTCATCGAGCACCGCCACACACTTCCCTCCCTGGGGCTGTGGCTCGAGAAGCCCTCGCGCTTGACCTGACCAGCGCCAGGGATCCGACTGCGCACTGGGGCAGGCACGCGGTGCCCGACACCGGAAATGAGAAGAAACGAAATCGAGGTCAGTCGCGTGGAGGCGTGGAGCGTCTTCAGTGTTTTCAGGGGCCGCCCTTTTCTTGGGAGAAGACGCTGGTGGACGCTATTGAGAGAAACTCATCAACCCAGATCGACTCAATGGTCGACGTGTTTTGGGGGGCAGCGGGCAGCCAACATCTGTGTCACTCTCTGAAGCTCTCATCTCCATTCCCCTTGGCAAACATGTTCTTTCTCGAAACAGTGGATATTTACATAATACTAAACAGTGGATACTAATACTTATAATATATACCTTCGGAATCCAATACCTTCTTTTTTAGGGTATAAGAAACATAGATATTATAATGTTTTTCTAAAAAAGCCGGCACTGCCGTGCCAAGTCGCCCTAATGATCTTGCTTGCCATCACGAGTACAGTTCCTGCAAGCAGTCGAGGTAGAGGACTTTCATCTAGGAAACCAAGTGTAGTGATAGTGCCATTAAAATGCATTCAAACGATGGGTTGGAGCCTCTGTGTCTGTGTGTGTGTGTCCGGGGGAAAACTCACACTTGTTCAGAACCAACTTCTTGTTAGGACTTGTACCTTGCAACAACTCAGCAGCGGGGACAAAAAGGGCTTGCAAAGCTTTGCCCAACGAAGCTCTTTGCAACAGTCCCAGGCCTAGGAAGCGGAAGCTGATCACTTCCGTGTACCTGCACAATCTTGAATCTCAGCCGGTAATGGACAAACAGTTCTTCAGAAGTGTGTGTGTGTGTCCAGGCGCGCCAAAAGCATCCAAAACCATATTAGAGTCCTGAATTAGCGTGGCCGACATCGGCCTCATAGATCTCATGGCTGAGACGAATCGGAATTGGCAGCCAAGTTTTCAGTGCGCACAACCAACAGCCGTGGCGCGCCGGTGTACACTCCAACCTCCCCTGCACTTCCGCTCCTCATAGTCACAGGGGCCCACCAGTGTTCATGGCACGTGGTGCCCGAAGGCCGGATGCCGGGCACTTGGGTGGCGCAATGACTGCGGAACCGGAACCAGAACCTATGGGGCTTTACGTGTCATAATTACCCGACTCTACTCCGCCCTCGATCCCGCCCTCCTGCCCCCCCACCTCTCTCTCTCTCTCACCCCCGTTTCCTTCGATCCCCAAAGAACAAACATGATCTTTGCTCGCTGCCCCTCCAACAACTCCAACCAGTTCCAATAGGATGTTGTCCCCCAAACAAACAGCACAGAACGGACCAGTCGGAGTTCAACCAGGACTTTCGATGAATGCATAATCTTCCTTCCCACACTTCTCACTGCATTCCATGGAACCAAACCATTCATCGGGAGCACCATCTTCACACCTTTTTGGCCATCCTTCAGCTGAGACAGGTCAAGACCTGTCAAGCTCGGTGCCCCATTTTTTCACTCGCTTGGGTTGTCTTGAAATGCCTCTATGGCCTGCCCTTGTTTTTGCTGCGAACTAGAAGATTATGATTATAGAAGATTATCAGAAGCGATTCATCGGCAGCAAACAATATCCCCGGTGGAGGGGGAATCGTAGAGCAAACAAGGTCAGTCAGGCTTGTCTTATGCACGGACCCCCCAACCTGTGCCACGCTTTTTGGGCGTGCCAGTGGTGAGTCTTTTGTAGGCATAGACGTGCCCTCTCAATAAAAATATGAGAAAGGAAACACATACCAATTCCGGTAGGTTGGTCGACGCCATTGGCCATTGCATGAAGCTCCCAGGTTTCTCCTCCGCAAATATGTTTTGGAGAGGTCGCCTTTAAACCACGCATAACCATGGAATACAAAGGATTGCAAAGGACACATTGAAGAACCTCAGAATGGAAGAGCTCTCCGGACATAGATCACATTACCCCTTGCACTAAAGCTCCATGTCCATAGAGAAATGTCCAGCCTCCAGGGGTACTTCTAGACATGACCAGAAATGTATGCCTTCTATGGTTCAAACTTTACATTCCAGCAAGATTTGGAAATTCATGACGTACTGTTCTTTGGTGCAAAAATATGAAATATACTTATTCACAATAAGATGTTGTCTATATATATATGTGTGTGTGTGATTATTTAGGTGAATCAATGCCAATAAATGCCAATGAGGCTTGCATCAAACGTCGACGGTTCCGCCACTGCAGCGGTTGAGCTGGAAGGGCTCAGCGCTCAACAGGGTATGACGAGCACTGGCCGCCGAAGCCATTGCGACAGCTGACCGAAACGGCATGTGAAACGATTGGCACATCCGCAAGATCTATACTGCGAGTGGGTGGTCCACTCATTTCCAGGCAGAAGGATGAAAGAGGTAACGTGTGGTTGTAGAGAGAGAGAGAGATGCAAATCAAATGAGACAGGCTTTTCCAACGCACCCCATTCAGTAGTATAGATCCAAGGCATAGGCATAGATGGGATGTGCGGCAACATGCGAAAACTAATTGCAGAATTGCGGCTTGTGTTGCCTGTTCAAGCTACAGGTGTGCGTGTGTCTCTCACCCACGACCTGATAGCAAAAAAAAAACTGCTTCAACGAAGCAAACACTGCAGTGTTCAATAATCTAGCACTGACCGAGCTCATCGCCATCACAATGTTGATTTTGGCCTTCAAACTGAAAGTGATTAATTTTACACACACAAACCCTCATTACTGCTGGGGCCCGTGTGACGTTGCGTGAGGTGCAGTTACATATACATATATCAATATATATATATATATATTCTCCTCAATTGAACAAATACTGCAAGATCTGCAAGTTCGTGCCACCTGCACGACATGCATTGAAAGTTACAGAATCTGTTGGTACAGTTACCGTCTTTCAACATATGGGTGTGTATTTATATAGGGACACCTCACAGGCGTTCCAACCCTGGAAGGTTCGGGAAGTAGACCAGGAAATACCCCGCCGGGGGCGAGAAAGGGGGTCTCCCAGCCAGAACCGGCACACCCAAATCGAGTGCATGGCATGTCAAGGACTATCACCAAACGGTGTCCTATTTGGATGTAACTAACCGCCCAAAATCTATTGGCCCCTCCCTTGGTACAGGGTTGTTGGATGCAATGCATGTCCGGAAACAGGCCAGAATCAACTTTGGCACAGCCCTCGTGAACTTGACCCGGGCCCTCGCAGTCGTGCGGAGAGCATCACTCGATCTGCAACAATCTCTCCCGGGCGACCCGCGCGCCTGACCTTCCCTGGCTCAATCCTAAAAGCGGTTGGCCAAAAGACAGTAGAGGACAAGCAGACCACACCATAGCCTAGCAGTTCAACATGGTGTTCCTACTGTAACTATGATTGCATGATATTGCATGTGGGGCGAAACGTCAGTTTGAGGGAGATGGTCTGCAGAAAGGACGAAAAAGATCAGAGGCCGAAAATTGTACTGCATCTCTCTGAGAGGCTTCACGCTCATGCGACGAGCAAAAAGATGGTTCTCAAACCAAACCACCACAACTAGCATTCGCTCGTTCGCCAGGAAGTCCATGGACGAAGAACTATGAAACAATGGCGTGCAACGGCAAGATGGCACCGCGGCGGTGTGATGGAGACGTGATGTCCTCGTTCTCTTCCTCGACCCATCCTGGGTCTACCACGTCGACCCGGGGTTCTCCAAGACTCCCTCACTCGAACGAAAACGCTAGACTCCGCAATTCCTCCCGCACAGCGTGTGAGGCGCGTGCAGGTGTCTTGAAACTTAAAACTGCTGTGTAATTACATAACCAAGTATAAAAGGGCTCACCTGCTCCCTACAAGTGCTTATGCTTGAAACGATGCAACTCAAGCACCCATGCACCGTGTATGCTTGGTACCTACATGTACTGGAATCCACACAAATCAAGTTCCTTCAAGCTCTACTTTCAGGCAACAATTTGGTTGAGCCCTTGGTGGTTTTTCTCAGACAGGCTGCCTGGCAAACTTGAAAGTGCTCATCCACACACAATTGACTAGCACCAACTGTACGCGGAATAAGCTCCCTCCCCATGGGAAAGGGTCATCCGCGGGCAGGTCCAGCAAGTTAAACATCGGCAACCAGGGTCCCGCCCGCGGCCGCAGATTCTGAACAAAGAACGAAAAGGAGGCTGTCTCAGAATGAGGGGTCCAAGTGCTAAGGTGTTCATCTTCATCTCGTTTACTGACTGCGTCCCAATTCTGAGACAAACGCAGATCAGATGGCATGGTACTACACGCTTGAAAAATTCAAAGCACGGGAGATGTCACACCCTCTCAAGTCCGAAGCATCAAAGGCTGGGCAAGGACGCACCATACACAAAAATAATTATGCATGCGTACGTTACATTACAATACATAACATTACATTACATAATATAATATATATACACTATATTAGTCACTATATTATTACATACAAACCATATTCCCAACAAAAGGTCCATCGGATGTTGATTAGTTTAGCTTTGTGAAGTTTGGGTTTCAGGTGATGACTTACAGAAACCCAGCTGGTAACATCAATGAGATGTGTACACTGCGCCAAGTATGGATGGGTCGAGGTCCGCTCCGGCCTCGATCTCACGCCGGTGACCGTCCTGCGAACGAAAGATCATATGGACGTGGCTCGAATCTGCCCCAGCGGGTTTCCTGCATGATACCCTGCTGTTGAGCCATGACAGCTCTACATAATATGCTTACACCTTTATAATGTGTGCGTCGTGCGTGCGTGTTTTTTGGTGAATGACTCCGCGTTCGGAAGCTGTTCGGACGTGGAAGACTCTGACCGAGCTTTCAGGCCCCGTGCTCTGGGAAAAAATTCGTCACTCCAGGATCTCAGGCTCGTCAGGGTCCTTGAGTTCCTGCTCTAATAGCTCCTGCCATCTTGGTCTGTCGAGCGGTTGGGCGACCAAACGACGAACATCCATGTATTTGGGGGGGCCCATGTCCTTGGGTGCCGTTGCCTTTTTTTGGATGTTTGGAGCCAGTCATGACTTTGACTCCAGCATTTTCCACTGCACTGCAGTTGAATGCTACTTCACCATGGCCTTCTTGGGGGTCTTGTTGCCTCTCCAACATCTCTCCACGAATAAGCCGCTCGAATCGTGGCCTTTTGGTCGGAATCTCTCAACGACGAGGTTTCTCGGGACAAACTGAGAACCTCGGACGGGCCCTGTCGTCGCCCAAAGGATTGCAGTGGTTTCAGACGGCACTGGCACCCTAACTGAGGTCTCTTTGATGGGGCTCCCTATAAGCCTTCTCTAGGGGATTGTGCCATATACTCTTGATCACTAATGTGGTCCTCTGATTAATAAACGCCCCTAGAATAATGTGTTTTTTCACTGCACTGATTAATAAAGGCCCCCAGAATTTTCTTTTTTGGCAGGGATAGTTGTAGTGGAATATGTTTTTATATGTTTTTTTTGTTATAGTTTACTTTTTCCCTTTTGAGTTTGCTGGGATTTG